CACACACACACACACACACACACACACACACACACACACACACACACACACTGAAGCGGACCCATTTCAGAGCACACACTCGAGTCCAAAACGGCACCAGGCGCCTATAGCTCTTTTTCACCACAACAGTACATCACTAATGATAGCTCAACTCCCCAAACTCCCCTATATTATCCAGAGGGGTGGAGAAATCTGCCAAACGGGTACAGGTCCTCTCCTTACGTCTCACACCACAGTATTTGACAGCCAGCAAGGGAACTGTAAAATTAAAGGCCTTGGCAAATGAAATGCTGCGACACGGCAGCGTGAATCAAAGCAGAGCCTGTCAGGGGGGGCTTGTGGAAGAGAAATGACCAAGGAGTGTTCTCAGAAGGAATACAAAAATAAAATGAAAAGTTAGCCAGATCAGAACACCACATTGCTTTTGTTAAGTTATCCAAAGTGTGTTACTTGGCATCCTGGATATCGACTGAAGACATACAGGTTCATCATTTCACCTTGAAAAGTTAAGCACTTTGTGTAAAAGCCGGAACTTTATTGATGTCCTTTGATATCAATATCAAAGGACATCAATGAGAGCCAAAATATGGTCAGTGCCGACGACTGTAATGTATCTCAGCTGAGTCATCATCATTGTCAACCTCCTGCTTTACACAAATATTTTCTTAACTCCCTGTCGACTGCGTTTCCCAAATTTCATGTTATTTAGCAGTTTTCGAGCACATCACTGTAGCTTTCTCCACATTCACAGTGACACAGAGATACAAGTGTCAGTGCTGACATAAAGGGCCTTCATTGTGTTCCAGGCGATCTGATGTTGAGGTGAAGATGATAACATGTCTCACCCATGACGGAGAGTTATTGCTTTAATATAGACAACGAACAGTTTAATTTGTGCTCTGGGTGTCAACGCACAGCTGGGCGTGATTACTTTCTTGGCACCGTTTTGACATTCATTGGCTTGGATTTGGAACGTATTGGAGAAAGGCTTCTCTCAGTCCAGAATGGTTGGGTGAGTGACAGATAGAAGGAGAAAGAAAGATGAAAAGAAAAAGAAAAAARAATGACCGGCTTTGCACACCTCGGTGAACAGCAGCACTTCAATCCTCCACAGAATGAGAAATACAGTATCCTGACCTTGGTTGATCAAGCGGAGTAAAAAAAGGAACACAACTTCAATTCAACTGTGGTCAGTGTAAAAAAAATAAATAAAAGTACCAAAACCACATTAAATAGTAAAGAAAGAAGACAGTTCTTGTGTTTACTCTGGCATATCTTTGAAGATGCTTAGCAAAAAAACAGAACCACTGAATGTTAGATAAATAGCTTCTTTCCAGATGGAGGATGCAGATTTCTGCACTGAAAGCTTCCAAATATTCTAAATGTCAACACCACACTAAACCTCATACTTAAAATTTTAGTTGTACTAAGCTTTTATGGAAAAAAAAGTGTTATTTTTGCTGGTTCACCGTTTCAAATAATATCAGATTCAATTTAGACAAAAATGTGACTCAAATCACCAGTGAACCTGTAGCTTTGAAATGTTTTGAGTACTAACACGTTATTATTTCTATTTTTTTTTTCAATTCGCTGGAAAATAAACCAGTAAAATCCAAGAACTTTACCTGTGAATGATATCACACAATGACTCACCACATCATACTTCCTCACCATCCAAACAGCCGTACCTGAATGGTGGGTGGGGAGCGCTGTTTYCGGGTGGTTGTAGTCGACAGGGTGGTGGTGGTCTCAATGAAGGTGGTGGACATCTCTGGCGGTACGGAGGTGGTGGTGCGTGCCGCGCCCCGGCTTGTGGGAACATCGCCCACCAGCCGCACGCTGCCGTTCACCTTGATGTTGGGGTGGCCCTCTGCGGCCATGTTGAGAACCTTGAGCCCGTTGTAATAGAGGCCAGAGAGCTGACCCTGGTAGGGTCGCTTCCGGTCGTTCCCACCGATAGAGATAGTGGCCTGGGTGTTGAAGATGGTCAGCTGCCGGCCTGGTGCAGGGGGGAGGGAGGGAGGGGTAAAGATGCTAAGGACTTATCTGACATAGTAGGCAAAATAATGATAATAAAAAGGTAAACTGACATACATCACCTTTATTCTTCTCTTCACTAGAAATGACTGCTTACTGTATGAATCAGTKATGTTCTATGGTCTTTAAATACCTTTACAATGCAGCTTGCTTTTACGCTAAACTAGTAGCACTAGGATTGTTTTTGGTCGTWCTCATCAAATTGCCACTAAGTATTTATTTTATATGAAAGTATAAAAGAAGCATTTAATGAGCTAGCAGAAATATACCTCAACTTTAAAAGCAGAGTTATGTTATGAACARACAGTTTCGTCCCTTCAGTGGACAGCAGTCAGAGTGACTTCACTTTGGTTACGACAAAGAGTTAAGCAGTGGAGTCAAGCTAATTGAAAATTAAAGCAGGGTTTAAAAAAAACAAAAAACTATTTTCACTATCTAAAACTTTGCTAGCAGTTACAGCATATTGAATTCTTTCACACCCATTTAGTTTTAGATGAGACAGTAGTTTCATTTGCAGCTTTTTTTCTTTTTGGATCTAGCAAAACCACTATGCTAACTGCCCTGYGGAACTTAGTATATTAATATTTTATACGTAATAGACCATTTTGTAGTTCACACAGTTCTTGTTTTTTTGGGAGGGGGTGCTAAGGTTGATATGGAAACACCATTAAAATTGGACAAATTCAGTTGTTAAATTTACACCGTTATACAGACTCAATGTGTTAGCTTTCAACTGATTCAGGTTAAGCGTTTCATTAGTAACATAGAAGGGATTTTTCATAAATATCTAAGCTTTGATTCTGCTCTTTGAGCTTGTTAATTCCAAAGGTGTTTGCATTGCAACCTCAGCATTTTCATGGCTGACCGAAGACCAGGAGGAGTTGGACTCTTCTAATATTCGTATGAAATGGTCTGTTGCAGAGGTCTTCAACCCTGTTCCTCATGAACCACTGGACTGCATGTTTTTTCCCGCTTTAACACACCTGACTTAGATGACTCAGTAATTGACAGGCTTTTGCTAAACCTAGTGAGATTACAGTAGGTAATTTAATTATTTGAATCAGGTGTGCTGAAGATAGATCTAAAATATGCAGGACAATKGGTCACAAGGAACAGGGTTGAAGACCTCTGGTCTCTTATTTGAGTAGTGCCATTATTAACTAAATGTTGGTTAAATACTCTGATGTACACAAATATCTTCTTATATCTTCAAAAAAAAGGCAGGCACTTTTTCTTGTATGTCTTACTGTCTGTCATTCAACTCAAATGTTGAAACTCTAATCTGGGAATAATGTCAAAATCGACATCAGTCGCAAAACAATAGGATTTGTTAAYTTTTGTGCTCATTAACCAAGCTAATTACAATTAGCAACACAAGTTCATAACAAATATCTATGTATTCAAACAATGTAGCATTAGGCAATTCAATTCAATTCAATAGTAGTTTTTAAAGAGTAATGTGTGTGTGACTAGATTAACAAGATACAAATAGATAGATTAAAAATAAACAGATTTTTATTTCACCAATCACATTTTTACATGTGAGTCAGCCATGTTGGATTTTTAGGCTAAAGTTGTTTAATCTCAGACTTTACAAATCCGAAATTTTGTGGGCATTTTAGTTATTTTTATTTGACTTAAAACTCAAACGTTTACCCTTTTAAGTCCAAAATTTACAGTATGTCATGATTTTGAATGAGACTGGGAAATGTACACGTCACAGCAGGTCTGCAGTGGCACACAAGCAGCAACTTTATTAAGTACCAATCGAATGTTTTTGGCTTGAGAAAATATTGACTAAGTTAATATCTTCCTTGTGCCAAACACCTACAGTGTTTGTTAGAAGACTAAATATGATTTTAAGATGTAGTTGTGTAAATGCTGGAGATTTCTTTCTGAATTCCTTGACTCCCACAAGAGAATTTCTCTCTGATTTTCCAAATTGAGATCTTTCTGACTGCTATCAACTGCAAGTAAGATACTGTCTACTCATAATCAAAAAACATCAACATGTCCATTAAAAACAAAACAAAAACTGAACTATCCTGAAATTCAAACTGAAAACCGTGGACTGTATGGGTAACTAGAGTAATAAATGTTCATACGGGATTGATTACATTAAATAAAAACATTACGAACTGTGTTGTGAATTTAATTTGGCCAAACCTAAAAATCACAGTCAAAACACGCTGCTCATGCATTAATCATGGAAGGAAGGTGCACAAAACGTTCACAAAACAGGAATCATAATTAACATCTCATTTGTATAATTCACAGACTGGTACACTGCAAGCTTGTTACATTTGCTTGTTATACAGTACATAAAACATTAAGTATGGGATGGCAGGGGCGGGGCGTTCATATCACAGGAAATGATACAGCACGTGTGGAGTCATGCATGCAGCAGTAATGAGTTTTCTTTTCAMAAACCTGGAAGTGTTTTAACCATTGTTAAAGGGACTTTTATAAAAAAGGTTAAGATGTTTATGTGCAATGAATTTTAAGAAAGCAGTTTATAATGGTATTATGCAGAGTGAGAAAAGGTTTTATGCACAAAACAAAAATTAATAAATAAAAAAAGCAGGGATGTTTTAAATCCCCGCACGGTTTTAGCATTTAAAAAAAAACACGAGATGCTGAATTGATAATCTCAGCGACTCATAAGTACAGCTTTATCAGGCCTCAGCGCACCTTGGCTGGTGCACTGTGACACTTTGCTGTCAAAATGGCTCCAATTATCTCTTCATCATCAAACAGAGGTTAGAAATCCATTTCGTGTGATAAGTACAGCTAGATAAATTACAGCGGAGAGGAGCACCTGCTGTTTGGAAAGTTTTCAGAGAGATATTCCCACTGATTAGTTTGTTCTCAAACATTGCCATGGATGAGAGCCAGGGGAGTTAATCCTCCTCTCCAAACAGTCTGCCTACTGTTGCTGCATAGATAATAACTCCTACGTCAGTTTTGCTTGTATGATTAAGAGCTCTTAAACTTAAAGGATTATTCCAGACATTTGGAAGTGGGGTTATGCAAAAAAGTTCTGAACAATCAGTATCATACCTGTTGTAAAACACTCCCTGAATGACCTCAGTTTGGAGAGTAMGGGTTTGATAGGATTGATGAGCTAATAGCTAGTTTGAGCTGGTAAAGTTATTAGTCTTGTTTTACAACAGCTTTCATCTAAAAATACATATAGTGGATCATGCAAAGGCTATTTCATAGACCGTTACACTGCTGTCAGCTAGCTGTAACACTTCTGGCACAGCCTGGAAACTACTACTTTGCTAAAATAACCATAAAACTTCAAACGGAAGGCGATGTAAAAACCCAAATAACAGTGTTTGCATCAAATACCATCGAATATTTATGACTAGAGTTGTTTTCAGTCCACAAGTATCTACGCTCATTAGTAAAGTCAGMGTTAAAGTGGAATTTGGTAACRCTTTCTTTTAAGGTACCCTTATTACCATGTAATTACAAGGTAATTACATGGTAATAAGGGTACCTTGTAATTACAAGGTAATAAAAAACTAATGGTAATGACTACCTTATTACCATGTAATTATGGAGTAATTAGAGTACAATTTTACTATGTGATTAATTGCCTGCAGTAATGTAGCACTTACCTGGTAATGTATTACAATTCACTATGTAACACCTAAATAAGTAGTAGGTAATTTGGAGAGTTTTAAAGTTATATTTTATTGCAATTAAYCACTAACCCCAAAATTTAGTTGTATTGTTTTGGTAATAAATATAGTGTTGAGTTACTWTTGAATAGTGATTTGATTGCAGTTACCCAATAAAGGTAGTTTTACTAACAGTAGTTTTTCTTTTGTACCCTAATTACCATGTGATTACCTTGTAATTACATGGTAATAAGGGTCCCGTAAAAGAAAACATTACCTGGAATTTTATTATCCCTAAATTAATCCAATTATTATAAAAATCAAAGCAGTTTATGCCAATGCTATTTAAATCTATGATATTAATTTGGCATTATGGAGCTATTTTGGTTTAAAAAAGTAGTAAAATAATTTAAAATTAAATTAATTAACTATTAAAATAATTTCGAACAAATTTGACGGACAGATGCACTTCAGTAAAAGGTATACGACTATAGAATAATCTGGAAAATGATTATAAAAGCATTGGATCAATTAATTCCTTTAAAAAGTGATCAAAGCAAAATTGTTAAAGAAATATGAAATTGTTTTATTTGTATTTGCATGAGTTACTGTTTGACGAGTTGAATTTTTATTTTTGTTTAATTTGGTTTATTATTGTTTGAAATTAATACAATTTTTGTTGTAAATAACAGCAGATATAAGATTGTTTTTCTTCTTCTGCTGCCTTTCATTTGATTTGATTTGCATTGTTTTGTTGTATGTAATGTGTTTTGTTTTGTTTGCTTTTTAACTGAAATGAATAAATACTAAAAAAAAAAAAATTCCCGAAATGACATGAAGCTTTGACAGAATTGCTACTACTAGCTGCTGCTGCTTTTTTGACTTAAAAGCCACATAATTCCATGTAAACTATTGTGCAGTTTCAACAGCAGTGTGATGGTTTAAGAAAAAAAGTATTAAGACTAAACTTATAGGAAGTAAGCCACTTTGTTCTTAGCCCTACTCCAKGTAACTCAATTGGTATCTTGGACAAACTCTCCAAATTGAGGCTCTTCAAAAAGATATTTACAATCGGAAAGACATTAACCACTACTCAAAATGTCTGGTATAATGCTTCACAATCAACCTGTCACACTGGTTGTACAACCTCCTCTCAGTCCCTTTAACTGGACTCTGTGATTCAACAATATTTAAAAAGAAAGGTGACAATGGCAAAAAAAGGGACAAAAATGTATAAAAAAAGGATAAAATCACAAAAAAACCTTGTTTTACAGATTTTTAAGGGGTTTTAAGGGATTTTTTTCCATTCTCAAAGGTTGAAAGGGAGCAAGCCGATGGAATGACAAAAAAATACAAAATAAAAACTAAAGAAAAAAAAACATTCTAGAAGTTGGATAAAGATTTACCTTTCTCCTGAATCCAATCTTCTACTGGCCGGGTATATTTGAAAGGGATTTTCTTATTTGCCATTTGATAGCGCTCAATGTCGCTGTTGCCTTTAAAGTTTGAGAATTTAACAAACAGCTTGAAACAGTCGGCGACAGCAACAGACAACAAACATTTATACACTGGTTTATGATGAGGTTTATCTTTGTTTAGAATGATTTATAAAAGCTTTATGAGGTAGTTTTTTTTTTTCATGTAGCGTTACTTTAGTTGGTTTTAGCACACTCCACACTTGTACAAGGTATTCATAAAAGCACAACAAARTGCTATATAATCAGGTGGAACAAACAGAAACAAACACAGCATAGAGTACAGAACATTRCTTAGAAGAAAGTCATAAAGAATATCAAGAGCTTGGGTAGAAAAAACTTCATTTTACTGCCTTTCTCTGAATAAAAATTGGAGGTAATTTAAAAGCACTAATTCTCCCACTGGACACCATCTGCTTTTACATTTCAAGGGGCAACAAATGATTTGGAGTAGTAAGTTATTTTGGAAGGAAGRAGCTTTGTAGCCAATTTGCAGGAAAAAGGAGGGCAACATTAGAGGAGGGAGTTGGTAATTCAAAGTATGGCAGATCCATTGGGGGTGAAGTCCCACAGCGACACAGATTTGAAGAGGACAATGCATACAAATGAGATCATTACTGACTTTGTGGGAGGCCTTTTGGGTTAAAAAAAAGTRCACCCCAGCTGCCACATTCCTTTCTTTTGATATGCGTTCCAGGTATAAGAGAATTAAGGTTAATAAACCTTCTTTTTTAACAGGAGGTAATGTGTGCGCACATTGTCTTTTTTTTTCTAGCATGACACCATTTCCCTTTGTGTCTGTGTCAGGGTACAATGTTTTGTCTGACAATCACAGAGTCTGCCGGCGCTGGATTGAGGCGTACGCATCAGTCTTTGGATGCTTTGAACTAAAACAAAGAGGAAGTGAAGGCTGTAAAAAATTAGAAATGACAGCATGACGTCAGTCAGTACCCAGGTGAGAAGGTAATTTGAAGCAGAAAGGAATGGAATCAATCATGGTTGGAAACAAAGAGCAAGGCTTTGCAAGTGTGCACATGTGCCTAGCRTGGGACCATCTCTGGTGATTGAGCTACTAAATGTTAACTTCATGCGCACACGCACGCACACACACACACTATTTTTTCAGAGCCACCTGTGATTACGCTGTCTGGCTATGATATCACCCCTCTCCTCACAGCCATCCCAGTTGAGCTTCTGTTATTTGCTTTCATTACATTATATTATGCACAGCTGAGAACGAAACACAATCAAGTAWAACCATACAGTTCTTTTCCATCCTTCCCATATTCCAGGAGAGAAATCCAGCCAAGTGCTCCGTTTACACCCARCTGGGAAGGAGTGTGATTAAGGCAGCGAGGGAGCTCGGGGASCTAAAGGACTGTGTCAGGAGTGTGCCAGCAGGTTAATCAGCCACGAGCAGGACTCCATTCGCTTCCCTTTGATCTCAAACAGGTTTCAGGTGGCGGCCAAATACACTTTCCTCTGGACAAAGGCCACAGAAGAAACCATTACAGTTGTATGTGAAATCAGAGGATAGTGAAAGAAGGTTTGGTTTTAAATGCAGCAAGCTGTTTTTTTAGGGGTGCACCAGTTGCAGTTTTCTGGCTGATCGCCGATCTTTAAAAAGTCTGACCTGCCCATTCCAATTTTGGCCGATAACTTTTTTAAATAACTGACACAGTCAGGTCTTATATGGTCACAATACACCTTCAATGTTCCAATATTTTCATATTGAAAAACACTGAAGAATACCCTTGAAACAATACAAACTTGTTAACTGTACATTAGGTAGTGCTCACAGCAGAGCTGAGGGGGACATAGGCTGATTTTCAGACCTTTGTGGAGGTAGATGAGAAGCCARTCTTTTCCAATGATCTTATCTAAGTATTGGCCGATCCCCAAAATGAAGGAAATTGGTACCCCAAGTAATTTTTTTGGTCGAAGCTATAAGTTGTGTTTGAACTCAAGACAAAAACCCAGAAGCTTGCTGTGCATTTCTTTTGGCGCAGTTTCAGGTGGAGTTCTTCCTCAATTCCTGGTGATTAATGAGGTGACAGTTCCTTCATAATGAACACACCACTGGCTAATTGTCCAACTAATGAGAAAAATCTCTGCAGTTTCTCAATTTGATATTTAATTTCTTGAGGTGACTGGAAAATAGATAACCTTGACAATAAAAGCATTATTTTGTTGATAATTCATTCTGTCTATCTTTCAGGGTTTTTTTTTTTATATTTTGTCTTTCAAAAGCAGAGCGGACTGGGAATTCCTCAGAAAACTGTCCTCAACCATTTCACTTTGAAAGAGAAAAAAGAAGAAGTAGAATAAACTAACATTTTTTGTAAGAGATATCTAAAACTGTTTTTATGTGGAGTATTTTCATGTAAATGTAAACATTAAAGGTTATTATTTGATGCCTGTCTTTTGAAATCAAGACAAACAATGGCTAAAGGCTGGTTTATACTTCGCAAGATGTGTTAAAATTTAGTTGTTTTTTGCTGCTTTGAGACAAAAATGTGTTTTTGTTGCTGCGCAATCTGCAAAAATCTGTTCTGTACCCAAGCTCCTAGTAAAACATTATTTCTTGCGCTATGCACAAGGTATTGGGTGTGTCATTTCTTGTTATGAAACAGCCTAAATACCTCTCCCTCCAGGCAAACTGCCAAGCCCACGGAACCCCAGACCATGGACTGAC